CCCGACGTATCCTACCGGCTGCGCCAATTAAGTTTTGCACGTTAGGTTACTATAAAAAAATATATTTCAATTTATTATTTTCACTTAACGGCTACTTTTGTTGAGTACATTCAGATTTGCTTCCCGAATATGAACTGATTTATCTAACTGTTGCGGTCGCTTAGCAAACTTCGCTTTGAGAGAGTTTGAGTCAAAATTGAGTGAAGTTTGAGCTGCGTCAGCAATTATGCGTGGGATAGTACTCTGATGGGAACATTGACAGTGGCGTGATATTTAGGGTGAATTGTTTATGTCTACCAAAGGGGGACAGTTTGATCTTGACCAATGTCGATGTTATCACCAGGCTCTTTGTTTACAATATTAGAAATGTTTATAATTGTGCTTATGCTTATGTGCTAAGTTATGTTAAAGGGTGGGTGCGACTATGGATATGTCACTATATATATATTGCTTGTGAGTAGTGAGCATTTCCACTTAGGTTTCGGTTCTCTGGTCGCTGTTATCAACGCCTCACCAGACGCCACAGCTTCCTTGGCCGGCTTCCATTGGATCGGATGCTTATCGACATTGTGAGTGTGCGGCGACCATTATAAAATTGTTTTAGGTCGGTTCATGTGGGTTCCATAACATGGTCCCCTATAATGCACATATTTAGCACAAGCATTGCCGCAAATTTGTACAACTAAACCAATATATGCTGTAAAATGTCAAGATCTTCGAACCGATATCGCAATGAATAAGCACGCTTTCGGGAAAACATTGAATGATGGATTTAATGCATATACACCCTTATGAAAATAATCAACATAGATTTTTTTTTGCTCCGTAAACTTTGTATGGAAAGCTTGTTAATAAAACAAACAAAATGTTTCTATTTTTGTAGAATGAAAATTAGTTGGAAATGTATCGAATAATGTTTAAATTAAGACTTCAAAGGAATATTATTTTTTTTCTTATGTAGCAAATCCATTTTCCACTATTATTTTTGATTATGAGCTAATTAAAGAAATTATAATTAAGGAAAGAAAATTGTTTCTATAAGAATAGCTTTTATTATTATTATGTTATTTGCAATCATTGGCCTAGAATATGCTTTAACCTTCCATCGAAACTTTTAAATGGCAAAGTTTTTTTATAGAATGGTTCGAAGTTCAAAAGATACACACTTTTCTCTTAGCTTATTTGAATTTGCATACATACCTGTTTTATTGATCTTTAATTGAGCTGTGCTATCATAAAGATAAGGGAGAATATATATATATGTATATATATATATATAAATTGATAAAGGAAATTGAAATCCTTATCACAGGAGGCTTACCCATCATGTTTCTCCGCAGATCTTGCGGATTTGGGATGCTTACCCGTTATGCATGGACGGCAGTTTTGCAAGTTGGCATCGTCCATAAATCTAAAGGCAAGATGTGCTGGGAGATGGGATTTTGATTGGTTTCCGGTTGCGCTGTTGATGTAACTTGGCCAATTGTTGTTGCCATGTCGCTGGCGGGTTTTGCGTCTTGTGCACGTAATCAAAGAGCAAAACAACAAATTAAGAATTTACCGGCCGGTCGTTTCGACTATGCCACAACACAAGCAGCAAATAACGCGCAATTTATTAGCTGCATACTTTTAGGCGGCGCAAAATAGTTTAGCAAGCCACGACAACAATAAACAGCTTCAGGGCGCACAAACGCGAGCACAACCAAAAAAAAAAAAAGGGGGGAAAAATACAATAAAAAGCAACAAACAACAAGAACACAATTTTTTTTTTGCGTAGTAAATTGCGCTTCGGAGCTGCGACTGAGCTGCGAGTTGCTCGCTGGTCAGATTACAATGACAGGCTGCCGGGCGCCGAGAATCCGTTTACAACTTTGGGATATCGGTTTCGATTTCGGCTCCGCCTGACAGCTTGGCCATGGCCCCACGGACGCAAAACAACAGCAGCATACTACACACACACACACACACACACACACACACAGACATGTGCACACGACCCAGCGACCCAATAGCCGATGGCCCAACCGCTAAACACCATCAGCTGTGGCACGAGTCGCGCAACGTGAGCACAACGTGGCACACTCACTCACACGTGCCTCGCACGCAAGGTGGCCTCGTGTGCGCTTGCGTCTGTTTTGAAATAGAATATCCTGATGTGCCTCTTATTTTCTTCTTGTTACTCAGCATGGGGTAAGGGTACATTCATTTGCATGACTCGCATCAGTTATATAAATATATTTGAATATAGCTACGAACGAAAGTGAGACTCTTTAAAAACCGAACCGCTTCGAGGAATCGAATGGCAAAAAATCAACAAAAATATACGAATCGAAACCTTTGAAATGCTTTTCTTTCACATAAGAAACCATTGAGTCTTTAGCCTTATTTTCTAAGTTTATTTATATTATTTATTATATTTATAGTGGACGATTTTGGGTAAAGTAAAGTACAGTAAGGTTAAGTTGTTAAATTCAAATTTGGAAGCTATATCATAAGCCATGGTTTGAACCAATGCATTGTTTCAAGGATGTGGCAAACCAGCAAGCTATGAACCAATTGGTTGGTTCGAAGATGTGGCAAGCCCCCAAAGGCTTGAACTATTATGAACGTGGTACACCACATTCTTGAACCAGGCAGTTGCCTCGAACCGCAAACAGAACCTAATCAAAGTGCAACTGAGCACACTATTTCAAAGCAAGGCTTATATTTAGCGTAGCATTCAGTGTTGTAAAATTTGTGTATTTTGGTTGATTGCAGGGTATTGGTTGCTCGGCTTTGCCCCACAAAATCTGCTGTTACCTTGAGCTTGGTCCTTCTGCACATTTTACGCTTATTTGTTTGACCTTGTGCTCATGTCTGTTATTGTTGCTTCTGGCGTACACACAGTTATATACATATATATAAATGCACACACCCCCAAAATATCCTATTATTCCACTATGTGACAGTTCATATTGATTTTATGCCGTTGTGATTTTAATTTCTTGCTATGCCGTTAAGTTTTCTGTTATCAGTTGGGGCAGATTCCGTTTACAAAATATATATTTAGATAAATATACATTCTATTAATTATATGTATATATATATATATATATATATATGTATGTACATAGTGTATCTATAGATGTATATATATTTGTTTATGTGGGATTCTGTTGGCGCATTTAGTGGCAAGTTTGAGATGCATTCATTGGCAGACATTAACAGTGTTGCCATTTCAGCTTTTTTCTAGCTAAATGTGGCTATTTTCAGTCGCAACTGTTAACGGAAAGAGCAGGTGCCTGCATAACGGGAACCCGCTTCACATTTCCTTTTTTTGATCGAGTACTAACAACAATTGTTGACGAAATCTGAAGTTTTGTTAACAATAGCTAAACGTATACCAATTACGCTAAAATTGTACGGTGTGCAAATTCAATCTGAAAAACCGTGTAAAAAGCACAAAAGCTGCAAGCTGGTTGAGTGGATACTGAAGACTTCAACACATTGCACTTAATCCGAGCTAATTTAACCCGCATAATTGTACTCAGAAAGTGAGCTAGTTTTAGCTAATTTATCATTGATCTTAGCTGGTTTTTCTTTAAAGCGAAATTGGCAGCACTGGACATTCGGGCATGTAACTTGAGTTTTCTAGCAACCAGCTGGCGTCCGCTTGCCGAGCCTGACCTAGTTTCGTATATATAGCATTCGGCTTTAAGGATGCCAACATCCTGTTGTCGATTGCCGATAAATGGTGCTCGAGGCATGCGCAAAGCAAAGGAGCTGGCATTTAGTCATCGTTATACGATTAAACGATACAATTTGATAATTAATTTGAATTATTATCTACCCAACGCAACGGCATTTATTAGTATCGCCCGTGCGATATTGAAAGAAGTGATTGATCAACAAGGCTCATCCAAGCGCAAAGGTAAACCAATAAAAAACTCATTCGATTTTCTGTTTTTACATTCTACACAAGCACAAAAAATGTATTTTTTTTCTCTGTATTTTGTTTCAGTTTACTTAAGTTTCATTTTTGTTGGGTTTTGGTTTTGCTTTTTATTAATTACATTTATAAATATATTTGTATATGTATACACCATATGTATATATATATATTTATGCATGTATATTTGTGTATGTATTTGGTATTTATGTTAATAATTGTTAAGGATACCTTCTGCTGGTGTTTACTACTTCTTTATGACATTCATTGGGCTCTGCTACATAATTTTGTAATTACTCGCACACACTTAACATACGTACAAATTGTTAACTTTAAAACTTAGGAAAATTTCGAAACTCAAAAAAAAGCCGCGTAAACGTTGACATAATAACATAATAATTTGTGTACTATTTTTGAGAACGATGCGCACGAGTTATTTGATAAAGATATTTTAGATATATATATATATGTATATATAAGAATGTATATATATATATTATTTGTTTTCTGTTTGGGGTTTCCTCTTCTTTTGTGTTTTGTGTTAAATATTTTTCTTTGTTTTCACATCAATAAAATGTAATTTGAAATTGCAGCGGCGTATACATCGGACACAACCTTAAGCTCCAGATTAAAGTACAAATCTAGGTATACATATAAATATATATATAATAGGTGTATGTATTTTCGAGTATGTAGCAAGTATCTGAAGAACCAACCAATCGTGAAAATTATTTGGTATTTGCCTTAATGTAGCGCCAACATTTGGCGCTCTAGTCAATTCTATGTGGCCTTGCTTTTATATCCAAAATGGGTATTGTTAATCAGCGCACTGTGAACTGAAAAGCTTGAATATTATTTATGGATCAAAAACTATCAAATAAAAAAAAAAAAATAACCAGCTGCTTTTGGCTTGGTTTGGTAGCTAACCAACCTGGCTGCATCGCAGCATTTTATGACATTCGCTAAAAATGAAATGTGAAAATCTTGTAAAAAACGTTGAAACATATCTATTACAATGCGTTCAGTCACAGTGTGCTGCCTAACTAAATAAATCACAAAAATTTAGCTATAATTTTCTGGGAAAACTTTTGGTTTTAGTAAGTATTATATATTGATAATTTACTAGTTACATAGAATACACAGAACATTGGCTTTGTCAAGTTGTTGCTTAATGCATTTTCTTTTCAATAGATATATGTAGGTTTATAATGTATATATGTATTCAATATTGTTTTTTTTTTTTTTTCATTTTATTTTATTTTGTAAATACACACAAAAATGTCACACGAATACGCACTACTTTGTATAAGTATTATACGAACTGTTTTCAGTAATTATATAAATTCAGTTAGTTATTTTTTATTGTATCATATCGATAATAATACTTATTATTCATTGTTCTTCAATGTTTTTCATTTGTTCTTGATCGTGCTAAATTATAAAACACTCTGCACTCAAATAATATTCAATTGAGCCTTGCTTGACTTTGATAATTGTCATTGTACAACATACTATTTGCACAGATAATAATATATGTTAAATATATAGATTAACGCTTGATCAGTTGGCCATTCAATTGGTTATCATCAAGACATATATATATATATATGTTTATATATATATAAGTAGGTAGTTGTGTAAATGTCTATTCGTAGACAGGGAAATTTACAAATAAAGCGAATACTGAAAGTAAGTGTAAGTCCTTAATTTGATAAGATTCTCTCTGGAATCTGTAAATACCATTGAATACTGTGCTTTCTAAAACATATGGTAGTTGTCTTTGGGGCCTGCAATTTAAGCTCAGCAAGTTTTTTTTTCAGGCTTGCAAGAAAATTCGGCTTGGCGCCCCAATAAATGTATTTAGTTATTTATTTATATGATATTTAACACAGACACACCAAATATTAGTTGTATATTTACCAAGTATTTTAGCTTTAACATGCTGCGACAGACCCTTGCATACAATACATATCATCATATCATAATAGTCGTTTCTTGTACCCATTTATATATGTGTGTGTATATATATATATATATATATATACTATATAAGTAGTTATAGGTATTTCCATTCGTCTCTAGTTGCTTTTTCTTACTATGTTTGGCCTTAGTTTGATTTTCTTTGGTGTTTTCATTGCATTTTCATTCTTAAACCGTCTCTTCTTATTCTTCCTCTTCTTCTGCTTCTTCTTATGCTTGCCTAGCTCACATAATTAACCAACTACATTACGATACACGCTAACATTTAATAATATATTATGATAAAACATAAAGAAAATGAAATTTAAAAATAATCCTAACAATTTTAATTACTATGCATTTGCTTCCATCTTCCACAGACAAAATACGATCACGAATATTTTTTGAGAATACATCAACTACTCTATATATACTCTCACAATCTAAAAACACGCACAGGGAAACCAGATGCTAATCGGTTACGAACAGAAGTTTTCGAATTGGCTGTTTGTATATTGAACTTAATTTTGTTTTAAAGGGAATATTCGTGCACATATTAGATATAATTATGATATTTAAGTTTTGTTTTGCATTCATTTTGCTTATTTCCTTTAAATTGGTAGTTACAAAATTAGTTTGTACGTTGAAGATAGATAGATAGTGTGCAGAGTATCTCATAGTCGCATACTCCTTTTGAGCTTGCCAAAGCTATTTGGCGAAAGTTGCAAAATTAGCTCTGTTCTTCACCTAGCAGCGAGGCCTAACAGCCCAAGTTTTGCTTCTATTCTTGAAAAAAAAAAAAACGTACATATACATATATTTATATACTAATAGAATCCATATTTACTTATATTTCGGTTAGGTAAACACATACATACACAGACACGTCTGTAACACTTTTGTGATTAGACACAGGAGCGGTTCAACAGCTGTCTATATTTTGGGCGCCTTTCTTGCGGTTTTTCTAGAGTTTAAGCATTTTGTTCTTGTGTTAAGCTACGGACAGTAACTGTGTTTATATGCAACGGGATTAGAATATTGCTTAGGTGCGAAAAACGTTAAACTTTTGTTTTATTACTTTTTTTTTAAAGCAACTAAAAAAAAAATGTAATTGTCTTGTAATAAGAAGAAGATAAATTGTAATTTTGTGATTTTGGTCAAGTTTTTTTTGCGTTAAGCTTCAGATATTGTCATGTATTTACAGATCTTTGTGCATAGTTTGCTGGGATTTCCGCTTTAGTTATTTGTATAGATAGTACACATATCTGTTAATCGTTATGTATACATATTTCAATGTAAATATATATGTATATATATATATATATCTGTAGAAATAACTAACATTTATATTATAATGGGACTTTTAGTTACGGCTTATGCCTATTTATATCTTTTTGGGTTCCAAACATTTTTTGGGCGTGTTGAGATTTAGATATATGGATAGTCGGAAATGGGGCATAGAGAAAGAGTGTGTGTGAGAGAGAGAGAGAGAGAGAGAGAGAGAGAGAGGGGGGTAGCGTGAGAGAAAGACAGAGCGAAAATTTGCTCAAGATAGGTACTAAAGTGTTTAGCAAGAGGTACGATTGAGTCGAGGCTATATAAGATCGTAAATACATAAATATAAATCGTTTTTATTTGTGAAACATTGAAAACCATTTGTAGGAGACCGTTTGTTCAGTTTCAGTTGCATATAGGTTCATTTAGGTTTGTTATTCAACGCCAATTGGCTTAGGAAATTGTGCATGAATTGCGTTTGGCGCCCAAGCTGCGCTCCTGGATGCGCTGCAGATGCTGCAGCTGTGCCGGCGTTGGTGTGTGCGAGCCATGCGCCCCGCCGGCGGCACCAGCCGATGTTGAGGCCGAACCAGAGCCGGAACCGTGCGCCGTCCCCTGTCCGTGCGCCCCCTGATGATGATGGTGATGGTGGTGCAGCGGTGTGCCCGGCCCATTGTTGCCAATTTGCTGGGGCAGCGACTGGCGTCGGCGGCGCAGCGCCGGGCTCAGATTGTATGTAATTTTTGCCTGGGCGAGCAGCTCCTTGAAAACCTGCCAAACAACGAGAACACCAACAGAAAGAGAAGAGCTATGTTAACAACGCTTCAATCAAATGAGCCAAATGCTTACCTGCGTGATGTTGTCGTTATTGGCCGCCGATGCCTCCACAAAACCATTTTCCCAATCAACAGTTACCACCGATTCGGTTGTGGCATATTCCACCTGTAAAAATATAAACATTTTCAACAGGTAATAGAGTAATTAGATGCTTGAGATATAATAAATTTAAAATTTGCTGTGATGTAAATCAAGAAACTATATCCGATTAAAAATAGGTCTAATGAAACACAAGAGAGGATACGTTATATCTCCTATAAATGAACCAGCGTTGGGCCAGTTAATTTAATAAGTAAAAAGAAAAAAACAGCACTGAAAACTATTTAAATTGTGTGTCAATTCAAGAGGGGGGGGGGGGGGGGGGGGGGGGATGACCGAGAGTAGGGAAGGAAGGGATACATTACATAAGCTTTCTTAAAGCGGCACAAATGAATTAATAACTGGCATTGCAGCAAAATTTGAAAATCGTATAGAAAGGCGGTTTTTAAAGCGAGTGAGTGAGTGAAGTTGTGTGTAAGGCAGTAAGAGAGGAAGAGATAATAGGAAATATGTTAAAAACGCTTTCGACATATGGCAAAAATATATCAATAACTGGTTTTTTCCTTGCTTGAATGTATCCCAGTTCACAAATTGCAAGACTTTTAAACTGGATGAGTGACAGAACCTAATTGAGAACTGAGATATAACATGTGCTAGCCATAAAGAGGAGCACATGCACGTAAGTAAATTAAAAAGCGATTGCCTAAATTGTGGGCCTGAGTGTATTTGAATCATAAGTTGGCTATGGGTTTAAATTCATTTTGGTCATGGCACTGGAAATTTAATTACAATTACAACTTCTTCTGACAGCAATAGTTTTGAAATACTCGGAAACTGGCACAAATAAATCAACCAATAATAATGGATGAACGGCACAAGCTGGCACCAATTGGCTCCGAGCGGGCCGAGCGCCTGGCGGCGATGAACAGCCTAAATATCAATCTCAGTTCAACCAAGGAGCACAAGAATGGCTCGACGTTGTGGCAGTGCGAAGCGCAATTTGTAAGTATTTTATTATTATTTCTTGCTTGTCAGTTGAAAAAGTCTGGTGAATACGTCCATGCATACAGCGTCGGCGACAGGAGGATCCACCAAATGCCGAACTCGAAGCCTGGCTACGTTGGCAGCGCGAACGCCAGTTTGAGCGCGAGCGTCGTCAGCAGTTCGAGCCCTGGCGTTTCACCGAAGACGAACAGAAGCCGCAGGCTGAGCAGAAGAAGTCGCCGGGACAGAAAGCGTTGATCGTGGAGAAGAAATCGCCGCTGGAAAATGACAAGGTGCCTATGGGCCAGAAGCAGCATCTGACCGCACAGCTGATGCAGGCGCAGCAACAGACGCGTCGCCTGGTGCAGAGCATCGATCAGATGTTGCCGGCGCTGCCCAATCGTCAGCTGTTCCAGCAGACGCTGCTCCAGCTGCGACAGCTGCATTTACTATTGAAACGCCAACTGCAATGGCAGCTCCAACAGGATCTAAGCCGAGCTCAGCAGACAGAAAGAGAGATGGAACAGTCGTTGGAAAATGGAGCTGTGCCAGCCGCAGCATCGGCACCTGGTCCAGGACCAGCACCGCCGCCACCGCCACCGCCGCCACCACCGGGACCAGCACCAGCAGCCACGCACTTCATATATGCGCCGCAGCGATGGCAACATCCTGGCCAGCAGTCATGGCCGCAGCAGCAACAGCAGCAGCAGCAGCAGCAGCATCAGCATCAGCATCAACTATCACATCAGCAGCAGCAGCTACAGCAGCAGCTGCAACAGCAGATAAATCAGCAACAACAGGCACAGTCACAGCAGCTGCCGCCGCCGCCGCCGCAGCAGATCGCTAAAATGCAGCAGATGCAGCACATGCAACATCTGCAACAGTTGCAGCCGTGCGTTGGACTCAATTTCAAGGCGCCCGTCTTTCTCAATAATGGACATGTGCCACCGGGCGCGGCCCAGGCTGGCAAATTTCGCATTTGGTATATGACACACAATGCATTGCCCCATGAGCTGGCGGCCAATCATTGGAATTTACAGCAACCAGAAAATAATAGTTATTTTAGCGCCAATAATAATAATATCATAAACCACAATAGCAACAACAGCGGCCACAACAGCAACAATGAGGCCAGCAATAACCACAACAGCCATCACAATAGCAACCACAGCAACAACCACAACAACAACCACAGCAACAACCACAGCAACAACCACAACAACAACCACAACAACAACCACAACAACAACCACAACAATATCATCTGCAACATTCAAGCCAGTAATAACAATAACCACAATAACAACCACAACAGCAACAATATCAACAGCAACAGCAGCAACATCAGCAACAGTAACAACAACAACAACAACAACAGTAGCGGCAGCAGCAGCAGACACATACCCGTCTGGCCAATAAACACAAACTAAAAACAAAAAAAAAAAAAAAAAAACAATTGCAACAATAATCAAAATCCAAAAAAAAAAAAAAAAAACAAATGACGTCAAGCCAAATTAACAGAAACATCTACATTTGAAACAGGGGGCAAGGGTGTAGGCATGGGACATCCTGAGCACAAAACAAATATATATTTAAGTACACGTACATATCCGCCCATAGTAATATATATATATAAATAGATATCGAACAATACACGATAAATGAGCGCAGAACATGCATAGGAACAAGAGGCTTGTCAGAGATAAAAATAAGCAAACCAAATTGAAATCCATTTAACAGACACGCTTTTTGTTACATGTTTTGTAAAGCCAGATATGTGGCTAATTAAAACAAAAAAAAAAAAAAAGAAATTAAATTTGGCAGTAACTTAAAAGGCCAATTAAATAATGTTCATAAAATGTTGACCCGTGGAACAAACTGCATCAAGATGTTTTTAATCTGGAACGTAATGAGCTTGCGAAATTGTAACATTATGGACTGAATACTTCTAGTACAATATCTTCGCTTTTATTTTATAGTTGTGCTTCAACTATCAGTAAGAAAATTTAACCAGAATTCGGTATCAATTTTGATTTTGAATTTAAGAGACCAAGACAAGCAGGTTCTTGTGTGGACAACTTTTTTGGTTATTAAGGTATCTTTACTCTTTGAACTATGCTGCGCACATATGAACCAAGTTTTATCAAGATATTACCATTTAAAATAAGTAGTACTAAAGGAAGAATCGGTTGACAAATGGACTTTTGTATGGAAAACATATATCAATTTTATCATACCATCAGCAAAACCACAAGGGTATTTGGTCTTCGCCCTGCCAAAGATATCCTTGCTTTCTCGTTGTTTATTTTTTGGCTTGGCACGTAGTTTTCTAAAGGAAAACAAATCAAATTTGAGTTGACATTTTTTGTATTTTATTTCGTTTTACTCCTGAGTTAAGCCTTAGATTTGAAGTTAAGCTAGACTAAGAATTATGTCCAGCTTTGCCCGTTCAAAGCATATTTCATCATTATCCGAAAGTGTTTTATTGCAGATTCACATCTATAATAAGCTACATAATCTTAGGCTATATAAAAAATAGTAGTGATTCGTGATTCAATAGGTACAAAAATAACTTTATATATACATATATATAAATTAAAGTGTTCTCCAATAGCGGGGAAGTGTAAATGGCATGGGAAACCCTTTGGCTGACAATGCCAGACGACGGCGACCCAAAGTGATTGAGCATTAAACGAGTCCATTTTGCGTAAAAGTATTATTTCTTATCGGCATAGAAACGCACATAGACGTCTAAATTGCGGCGGTAAGTGTGGAAAAAAATGAAGTGAAAATAAATAATAGTCAACCGAGAGGAGCAAAAAGAAAAGGGAAACTGCTGACTGGAAATATATTTTTGAGGCAGGATGGTTAGATGGGGAGAGATACAGCAATGACAGTAAAAGGCCCGAAACAAAAACCAAAAACCAACCGAATTGTATCGAAACTAAGCTCGAGCCCAAACGAACAACCAAATTCTTCCAAATGAACAAACCCAAAGAGCAGCAGAAGCATTTGAAGCATCAGCAGCATAAAATGGCAAAACGTGCGTGGCTGCTGCCCAGCTCGGGCCAGATGTCGGCTTTACATATTGGCCAGGACTGGGGCAAACATTGGCTTTCAAATGGCCAACAAACTGAGTATGTGTGTGCGTGCGTGTGTGTGTGCGTGTATGCTGGCCTAACCTAAATACATAGTAAAAACCTAAAACGCCAACAAAAAGTTAAGTTCACTTCGTTAAACAAAGAAGACACTCTGAAGCACAGGCCAGGCAAGGTAGGCGAGCAGAATGAAGCAAAAAAAAAAAAAAAAAAAAATAAATACAAAATAAAAAATAAAGAATGAAAGAAAAAATGAAAAAACGCGACAGTTTGCCGCTGCTGGCGGTGCGCAATTTGCATTTTTATTATATTAGAACTCGGTTAAAGTCAATACACCCAAAAAGAAGACACTTGCTTTAGCGGGCATTGTCTCGACTATTGAAATTGACAATAAACTGCCGGCTTTGCGCACATACACACCGCATCCACACACACACACACACACACATACACACCGAAAGGCATACAAACACACAGAGACAACCAAATCTCCTTCTGGGTGCGGTAAAAAAGGCACGCAGCACAAAAAAGGGGGCACAATGAAATATCAAGTATGCGCCAAGTGGACCAAACGCTGCTGGTGCCAAACGGCAACAACAGCAACAACAACGACAAAGGCAGAGATAAATTAAAATTGAAATTTCCAAAGAGCTGCCCAGCAAAAAAAGGAGCACAAAAAATACAACAAACTAAACGAAAAAAAAGGGTTGGCTTTTTGCAAATTGTCGCACGATTATATTTGAAAGTAATTTAAAATTATTTTGTATTTAATTTGACAGTTGAGAGTGATTTATTTTAGCCCCCCCTCGCCGCCCCTTCCACACCGTGGAACATAAAGCTAGGGTAGGTTTCTTTTTTACAAATGCTTATGGCACATTTACTCGGCACCAAACAACCTGAGTTCCCAGGCGAATGCTACATCTACATTAAGTACCTTTTTTTTTGTTTTGCATTTAAATCAATTGTGTTGTCTGAAACTTCGAATATTGGAAACAAATTTGGGCACGGAACTGACTAAGCCCGCATGCATTTTGTTTGAATTGAGAAATGTTTGAGGATTTGTTTTGCAATTTGACAATTTGGACTGAAAAATGAGCGCAAAATATGGTCATAGAATGACAATATAATCAATTTTTGCTTATAAGTATATTTAATCTGCGGCTCTTCATTTTTTTTGCTATGCCTTTTAATAAAATTATGCAAACAACTTTCAATGGCCATAAGACAAAATCAATTTGCCGGCAAAGCAAAAGTTGAGCAGAGAATTTTAATAAGCCCTTACTTGGAAGTTCACAAGTACACATAGAGGCCAATGCATAGAGGATGACATTTATGTATGTAAATATATGTATATATATTAGCTATAGATGTGCATATATATGCTTTGCCATTACAGAATAGTTGTGTCTGTCAAAGTTGCAAACGGGCTTAAAAACAACGACAAACAAAACTCGACGATGATTATGTCAGAGGAAAGCAAATAAAGCCTTTGCTCCCCCTTTTTGTTGTCGTGTGTGCACTTTTACCATGAGCATTTTATAATTAATTAGGTACAATTATTTTATGTTTTCAACTTGCGGGCAAAGTAGTAATTGGCATATTATATTGGTAAAATGTCGACCACGCATCTAAACGATTGTATACATACATTAAATATAAAGAGGAAGAAATGAGAGAATGCAAATGCTACCAAAATTGTTGTTAGTATTTCTCGCCATCTTCAGGCCTAATACGTGCCTACGCACTCTTTATGCTAATTAACAGTCCATTAAAAATGATTCTGTGAAAATCAAGGTTATCGTGTCCGCTTTGTGAATGATAACCAAATTAAATAAACAATAATTAAAAGTGCCTAAGCCTTACAGGCTCATGAGGTTACTTATTTTAGATGTTTTCATGGCACAGTTGAACTTTGCTTTCCTTTTCGTCCACTACCAAAAAACCCCGTCTTGCTTCAGTCAAAATTTCAACTTTGTATCCGGGCAAACTCTTTATATACACATGTATCCAAAATGTGTGACACACTCCTTAAATGCATTCAAATGACTTTAATGCCGATCGAATGATAAGCAAAAATGTTCTATACAAATGTCTTTTGAGATTTTCGCACACTTCCGGGTGGAATAACCCAAAACATAGTCTCAGCGTGCACCTTCAGCACATAACCACAATGAGAATTTCTGTTTAGTTTAGTTTTTTATGTACGTTGATTATCAATCAGTCAATCAATCGGTCAGTCCGTAAGGACAACAGTTTTATATGTACAGCTTACTAAACGAAATTACCAGGCATTGCAAGTCTTAGAATGTTGCTGAACATCATATTATAACAAAATAATTTTCGCCAACTGCAGGCAGTTAGAAAGTCTTTCTCGCGACTATGAATTTGATCTGGGACTGTCTGTGCCTTTTACACACAATCGAGATTCCAAGTCAATATATGATATATTTTCTATAAAGCTGACTATAAATCGCCGGATTAGAGATTGTTTGTTTTGGCTTAACTGCTGCATTGTTGAATCGTAGAAGTTTGCAAGCTTATTTAATTGCACAGCATAAGAAAAGGTAAGTCATTTTTGGTTTCACTTCGAAAACTTGGACTTGCTGGACTCGAGCTGTGTTTGTGTCATATAATTTTAAGAAACTTTCCGCGGCACCGTTTTGCATGGAGCAAGGAGAGTTGTGTACAAAAAATGTGCATTCAATTCGAACTTCTAGAGTCTTATAAAAATCCATTTAATGCGAATTGTTCTTTAAGATGTATGTGTGTGTTTGTGTGTGTGTGTGTTGTGTACTTTGAGTACTTTAAGTTGAGTTTAAGATCTGAACTGGCCGCAAGGCAAACACACAACGCAGCTGGCCCGCCCTGAATTTGCATAAACTAATACAAAATTCCATTTGGCCATTTACCCTAACGATGATCATTAAAGATATGCCAGGGCACAAGTCGTGTGTCCACAACTTAACGTTATTTCTAGGAATTTCATATAGTATATATGTATGTATAAGTATATATTGTGTGCTTCTAGCGCTTGTTGTCAACTGAAACAAAACGGCAATAAACTGCGATTGGTAAAAGTTGGCGTTAGATGATAAAAAGCGCACGGAAAAGTTGAAACATTAAACAAGTCATTCGAATATGTTCTATATATACTAAATGCTAACAATTATATGTGCATATATATGTATATATACATATGTATACATGGTGTTGCTTTGCATTTGGACTGGAAGAGGAAAAACTTTCAGTCAGGCAACTTTATGACAAAATTGTGAGTTTAACCATTGCACTGTGGTCAAGCGGAATGAGAAAGTTTAACAACTCAAGCAACTGCTTTGTTTTAATTAAAATACAAATTTCATTTAATTTTTCTTAAAATATATGTGTGAACATTTGCTATTCCCAAGCAAATAACGAAATTTTTTGAACAGTTTCCGCTTAACCTTTAAACGCAAACCTGAGCTTTGTCTGCTTCATAGGGTTTGCCATAATTAATACATTTTATTGACTTTCTCTTTGTTTTTTACCATAAATCAAAGAATAAATCGTAACAATTGACCACAAAAAAGAAACATATGACCAAAAATAGTGTGAATATTGCCCACAGTGCAACGCAGTCGGCTAAGTTTCTTCTCCGTTTCGTGTTGCATACTTTTGTGCGCGTTTAGCTGGACAGCACCTTTGTGAGATTTCATTTGTGTGACTTTTGCGCTCAATTTACGCTTCATTTGAATGCGGCAAAACCAATAATCTAATTAATTTCTTTGGTATACAAAAAGTATATAATTTCTATACATATAGACCTCTTTAGAAGTCGATGTACATGGATTTATGCTGATTCACAGCAGTCCGAGTCGTTGAGTGTGGCCTAGTCAATTTATATTATCTGTTTATATAATCAGCTTGATTTATTACTTAAGCATTAACTAAACGTATGTTTAAGAAACTTGTAAGCATAGTAATTTATTTATTATTTATTTGGCTACTTGTTGGCATGCACGAGCCTTTTAAGCTAGGCATCGCAGTTCAGTTTATCTGGACAGACGAACATCAATATTAATTTGGGAACACTGTATGCAAATATTTACATAAATGTACTTACTATCCAAAATATTGTGCGTTATAAGCTACGTGCCTAAAACTCAATTTCGGGACACTTTGAGGGCAACAAACGAACAATCAAACCAGTTTAATTCCTTGCTAAAAATAGCAATACCATTAAATCTGTCGCCATTTGTAATTCCAGCCAATTGTTTAACCAATTTTGCGGGCAAGTAAAAAGAAAAAAATGTATATGATTTTGGCTACTTGTTGGCGCAAATATTTGAGTTTCGCTGCAATTTGGGACTTGGCCGCAAAGGCGAAGGCCGATCCTGGCGTGTAGACTAGGCACCCGATGGAATCGCTATACCCATCGACATAGTCTGTACCCCGTCACGACCCCCACCACCACCAACATCATCCCACCATCAACGCAGCTGGTCACGCTTGACAAACTTTACATAATTGCTTGGGCCGAAACAAAAGCAATTTGCATAGCTTATAAACGGGTTACGAATTACTACGGGTTGTCTGTGTGTGAGTGTGTATTGGTGTGTATACGTGTGTGTGTGCTTTGGTGCGTTTGTTCGTGTGTTGTATAAACACTCCTTTGAGTGCTTTTGCCAACAACAATTAAATCAGTTAAATTGCGGTTGTTTTTGTTGTTGTCATTTGGGCCACAAGGCGCGGCTGAAAATTAAATGTTAAACACACTCCAAAATAATGATAACATAATACAAAAACAAACGGTAAAAATATTGATAATGAAAATACAATGATTGAGTAATAATAATAATAATAATAATAATAACAGTAATAATAATAATAATAATAATAATAATAATAATAATAAAAATAATAATAATAATATTTAATCATATTAATGAAAATTATAATAAGGATAATGATGATAATAATAATAACATTGATAATATTAATAATAATAATAATATTAATAAAAATAATGATAATCGACGACCTTTAGTCGGCACTCACCTCGCGAAGTTCTCCATCCTCGGCGAGCAGATCTACTTTATTGCCAACAACCACAATTGGCACCGCTGTGGTCGCCTTTGTCTCATGTATCTGATCTCGTATAGCCCGCACCTCTTCGAAAGTGGACGCATCGGTGACATCGTAAACCAGAATGAACGCGTCTGCCGATGATATGGATAGGGCGCGCATTGCTGGAAACTGGAAGAGCAAGATGCGGGCGTTACAGTTTTACCAAGCCAGATTACAGTTAATAGATAGAAGAGGCACCGAGAGAGTAAGAGCGGGAGAGGGAGAGAAGGAGGAGCGGGGATTGTGTAAGCGAAAGAGAATGGTTAAAAAAGTGTTGAACAAGCGGCTTAAATTGCAAATAAAATGCTGTTACAAAATTTGCATAATATTATTGTATTTGCATATACACACGCACACATACACACGCCAACGCACACATTTATGCACATATTTTAATAATGACAGATAATAATGTAAATTTTGTTAAGCGTTTCGTTGCTTTTCACAGGGCGTTGCAGCCTCGCGTTGCCTTTGTGCCCCACACCCTTCCTTTAAAACGTTGTCAAGTTGCAAAAGGAACTTTTCTCATTGTTGTTGGGCGACTCAGCGTATATGTGAGTGTGTGAATATGTATAGGTTTGTATCTATTTAATGCCATGTTATTTCATGTACTAGAAGCACAGAAACAGATTTTTTAAATCGCCATTTTCTCCATATCAAATGCACACTTAAATATTTCTTGAATATTGACTTTTTGGCAACTTTGTTTTGATCATATCGATGTACTTTTATTTTGTGCATCTTGTTTTAATATTTGAACTTTATGAGAAATGTACTTATTTTCTTTTTATACCATTTTGTCTGATAGGTGATGTAAATGCTTTCAATAGGAGTCAGAGTCGGTTAAAAAATCGTGAAGTAAATTCTGTGGAGGTCCAGTTAATATGGCTACCATTGTGTGACCCACTGACCCGACCTGGCCTTAAGCTCCATAGGCCGAATGGTCAATCCGAATGCCTTACTGGCCGCCCAAATTGTGAATTTTGTTTTGAATCTTTTAGCAGCAGCCGACGGTCCAAAGCACACGTACAGAATGAACTCGAACAAAACAGGGCTATGTCAGCTGGGAGCTGAAACGCATGTCCAGGACTCAATTAAGTAAATTTTCGACACACAAAAATTTCCCTAAAAGGGCATGTACCCTGGCAAACAGAGATGTAAAGTAGCTTGATCATAAAAGGCAAAAAGTACAACAAGTAGTTATGCAAAAAAGTTGATGAATTGCTGTAAACATAACTTTAATTGGAACTTAAAATTCTTGATAGGCGATAGGCCATATCGTTTATAGAAATTATCGAGTCTATCGAGTTGTTTAACGTTTTGCAACACTGCTAGAATTCTGTGAGCGGCTAATTGTGTATTCGCATTCAAAATAATAAATTTAAAGTTTTTCATCATTACAAAAACATAGTTTTTCTTCTAGTACTTGCAGTGTATTGTACGCTATGTAGAAATTCTATTAAACAATGACAATGTTTTTTTATTATTGTAGAGCACTGGTAAATATGAAGAACTACGAATAAATAAATCGTATTACTGAATGAATTTTAAAACTGATGAGAAAATTGGAATACCTAGTGTAAAGGAAAATAGAGCTTCAAATGGAATGGAACTATAGAAACATATTTTGAGAAGGTATAGGAATTTAAGAAAGAGTTGGGAGCTTAAATGTGTAAAATTGTTTGTGGTGCTGTGTCTGATGTCTGGCTGGTGTCTCCGGCTCTCTCTCATTCGCCCTGTGACAGGGCTGTCTGGTAGCCACAACCGCAACATTTTGGTCAGTATCTGGCGTCTGCTGCTGTTTGCTTTCATCTAACACTAATGGCTTTCAAAATCATGCGCTCAGCAGCTGGTTTCAAATTCAATGCGCACTGGCCCGGCCGCAGTCACAGGCAGAGACACAGCCATACCCATGCCACCCATAACACCCAGTTAAGTCTAATCTTCTGCCCAGCAGTGTGTCAGCGTGGGTTAGCATTTGTGTCCGCTTGCAGTATAAATTCGAACTGCTGCTGACTGTATTCAGTTGTAGCTGTCACAAGTTAATAAAAAGGCAGACATCGAAATGGATGAGACACGGCACAAAAAAACACATCCAAATGAATAGAATGGAGGCCCAAACAATGGCACATAATAGCGCTAGCCACATCTGCCCAGCGTCAGGCACACAGGTTAGCTGCGTATATCTGCTGCATACGCTGCATAATGCCACATGCGACGTCATCATCAACTTTGACCTTGCCCCAGCCCAGTTGGCTACACATAAAATGGAAGCTGTAGTTGCTGTATGGCTTCTGTAGATATTAATTCGGGTATGTGAATTAAATTGTGAAGAATAATACCTATAGCTACACATCACTGAAAGGCACGAATCTCTCACTAGATATGGATAATACAATATTTCAATGTGTTTATTAAGCTACTTATTATATGAATATACATATATTATAGGAATATACAGATCTAGCAGCGCCTGTGCCATCGGCATTATTGACATTTTTGACTTGTCTTATCACGAAGCGCACCCTAAGGTGCGGCAGGTGAGGCAACGAAAATGTTTCTTGAGTTTTCAGCCATGATAAGAAGTAGCCTAGGGCCGTTCCATGTTGCTTTTTGTATGCTTCGATATTTGTGTGCTCGAAATGTAACTGTTATTGTTGTGCTCTGTACGCATTAAAATTTCTTAAAACTGAAGCTTTTTGTTAAAGTTGACAGCCACTTAGACATGCTGTAAAACTTTAACTTTCCTTGCAAGTTTTTAATGCAATTTTAAATGTGAATTGTGCAATCTCTTTTTTTGCATATGACAAAAAAAAATAAGTAAAATTGAACTCATTGCAGACTTATGTTCGATATAATATAATTTTGTCTTACAGGGTAGCTTTGAGTCAGTCATTCGCGAGTGCAGAATTTTTAAACAAGACGTTGTTTTTGCTGCTGCAGCTGCTGCCATTGTTATTATTACATATTATTGTATTGGAAAACAAGGCGGATGATAAAGGTCGCCACTGGAGGAGCGACAACGGCACCAGCAGAAGCAGCAGCAGCAGCAGTGGAAGATGTGGCAGAGCAAGCGCTTGACAGAGCTGTCAATGAATGACCCATTTTTATGCACACTCAACCAGGACGATTGGCAGCAGGCAGACAGTCAGGTGGCAGGGCGATGCCAAAAGCTATCCGGGCCCTATCAACGCAGCTTCTACCGCTCTCTCTCTCTCTCTCTCTCTCTGTCTCTACATCTGTCACTTTCTCTCCCACTTTCTCTCTCTGCGGTTTCCGCTTGTTACACATCTACTGACGGTCTGGCAAGCCAAGGACAAGACCGCAGGGATGAGATTGGCCCGAATTGCTGCTGCTGCTCCTTTCGCATTGTGCATGTGTTTTGCTGTTTGATTTCTCAATGGATTCGAAATTGTTGCCACTTGTCGTGCTGATTGTATGTGTGTGCCTTTCATTTACTCTTTCTTCTTTCGTTGCGACTGTCTTTTTTTTTCTTGTTTTTTTATTTTTTTTATTTTGGTGGCAGCCATTCAATTGGATTATAGAGAACAACAGCGGCTGCTGTAGCATGTTTTTGGCTGCAGCCAAATGCGATTGTCTCAAAGTTAGCCATTGGCTTAACTCACTTATTGGCTTTTAAGACTTGAGCCCTGTTATTTCATTTAATTAAAAGCAGGTTCAAATAAAACCTCAAACTGCACATATACAAACACGAAAAAAAAATTCAAAAACTTGCAAAATTATGTTACAAGAGCCACTAAGAAAAATTTTCTAATTTTATTAACACCAAGCAACAGCTGCCACCTGAGTGTGTGTGTGTGAATGTGGCTTTATACACACATATGCATATAAATTTCTTTGCGGCAAAATTGAGTTTCATCTCTTCCATTCTGCTCCTTGTTGCAGGTCTTATAAAATTGCCATAAAATGATTGATGAGGTCTAATTCGAATCTATCCCAACGACTGTTTGTACTGACCTTAAGATCTGTTTCCTTTTGTTTTGATGTAGGTTTAAATGTTGGCAAGCTCTTAGACTTTTCTTTTAATACGTCTTCAATTCGTTTTTAAAGTTTTCTGTAAAAGTTGTACCATTCCAGGCGGAATATCGTTAAGTGGGAACATACTAAATCTCATTCAATTGGTGTCTTATCAGCACAGGCAAAAAAGTTTGAATAATAAAGTATGGCATAAAAAATCACAATTAAAAGTTCAACATATTAGCTAAATTTATGTATGCTAAATTTAACTTAACACCTTTAATCACAATCAACAAATGTGCAAATACCATAAATTATACATAATGACGGCGCCGAAATAATAAACAACAAACGAAAATAAAATAAACAACAAATTATCAAATGGATATTAATTAAAAACAAGCAAACAAGCGAAAGTGGAGAATTCTTCACTAGGAGTTACCCTGTATTTAGGCCGAACGTTTTTTGCCTATGAATATATAAAACTGAATTCGAAAATATATGGTATATATTTTTAATATATAAATCTTTGCATGTTATATAAGAGCTCACAATCTGTAATGCCGGCTAACTTTTGAATAAATCTTCTAAATCTTCCTATGCCTTATGCGAAATTAAGCAAAGCCCTGCTCTACCCGCTTTAACGATACGTTTACAGGATGTAGAAAACGAAGCATGCATAAAAAAATAAAAACAATTGCAAATTAATCAATGTAAGAACATATTTGATTTGACTGCAAAATAAAAATGAAATACAAAATACACGTACAAAATGTGAAATGAATCGAAAGCAAATAAAAAAACAACAACTCAAAGGTAAGTAAATATTGAGTCAGATAAGTATGTCTACAGACAGATAAAAAAGAGAGAAAAAAAAATGTATTAAAATAAATATTTACATAGCTGCAATGCAATTCTCATATAAAAAAAAAAAATGACTGCAAGTGCAAATGTCAGCGAGGTGCGATTGAAAAATTACGCGTTTCTTTCTCAACTGCCAAAAGAAGTTTTTTTGACCAACTCGACTATATTTTTCTACTTTTGGAATTCGCCTCGTACAATAGCAGCTTTAGGAATAAATAATTAATTAAAACATTTTTATTATTATTAGTCTGTCGAGCAAGAAAGCAAAACAGATTTTTGACAGGATATAATATGGCATTTATCGAACGTTATACCTTCTTATAGGTAATCTGATTAATCTGAAGCTATTATAGACAATAATCGACTGATATAGCTTCTTATATGCAATCTGTCAAGAAAGGCAGCTTTAAACAGAATATAATATTGTTAAATTATACCGAATAGTAAAGCTTCTCACATGTAATAATCCCTTTCTATTGGGTTAAGCCAGCCACCAGGGGCAGCAAACTTATTTAAAACAGGATATAGTATGGTATTATATCGAATGATATTGAGTTGTAGCTATTTAACTGTCAACCAATGCAGCAAACCAGCCTTAACCAGAACTGAACCCAAGCTGAAATGCCAACTTTTGATATGCCATGAACCTGACCTTTGAATGGAATATATGGGAAAAGAATAGTTGAACCTTGAACTTTGTGGCGCACGTAGCCGGAAAATTTTATTTGTATTTGAATAAATAGCCAAAAGTAGGCAATAAAAAATGTAGATAAGGTATTTTAAACGGATTACAGCGATGAGAAAAATATCGTAACAGTGTTTAATAATTTTAAAAAAATTATTATTTTGTCTAGAAATGTGTCACGCAAAGAAGGACACATCTCTGACCCCATAAAGTATATGTATTCTTGACCAGTATCAACAGACGAGCTGAAATGGCCGTGCCCATCTGTCTGGCTGTCTGTATTATAGGCCCGAAGCTTGTTAAAAGAAAATGTTTTTTATTATTTATTTGACAATCGAAATGTAGATATTGCCATCTACGGCTCAACATTGGCGTGATATCGTATGTGTCGACTAAAACAGAAAAAGGCATAGATAATAAGATCCTGTTTTCACTGTAAGTAGATTTCCCTAAGGCAAACGGAGCTCAAGTAAAACAGGTTGACTCAACCAAAGTAATTTCGAAGTGCGCCAATTTAAAATCGCGCTTAACCTCTGAAGATTATTTTTTTTTTTGTTATCGGAACTGCATTTTAATAAGTCTATTGTAGGTGTGGCGCTTATCGATAGTTTAATATATTAATATCAGAATGTTATTATATCGTATGCCCTCGGCTTACAGAAATTAACAGAGAAACAGATTTCGTTTTCGACTGCCCAAAAATCAAAATTGGAACTCGAAAGTGGAATAAGGGAGAGCCGATCGCCGTCGCCGAAATTCCAAAAGTCAGTCGCAGCTGCATTTATTTTTATCGAATAACAATTTTTGCCAAGTGAATGCGAAACGGCATTTGTGTCTTCTTTTTTTTTAATAAGTGTTTATATTGGTTTATTTTTCTGCTTAGCAAAAGAATGAAATCGCATGATATAATTTAATTTGCTAAGTTTTGTCTCGTTCAATTGGCTTAAATTCTTCATTCTTTATCTCTTCTTCGGATCGCCATATTGCCGGTGAGCAAGTAGTTCAAAAAGCAATGAAAGAAGAAAATGAGAGAGAATGCAACTCACACAAAGTTAAAAAAAAAAGTGCGTTCTTTATTTTGTCAATTCTCTTCGTGTGCAACTCGTAGTGAATTTTGACAACAGCAGCTGTTCGCGTTAAATCGCTGTCGGAGATGGAGCGAGTGCACGTAAGTCTGACTCTTAAATTTTTGTTGGTGCAATTGAAATTCATGATACGATGTGATTCATGGTATAAAGAGAATGGTCTAATAAAAGTGAATGATCTAAAGAGAAATGGAATAGTGTGGAGAATGAGAAAAAAGAACAATCTACTTGGCTCAATTAAGCTCTAATGCTCTAATGCTCTTTTTGTCGTAGACAAATGAAGAATGTTAAGAATTGAAAATTTTAAATTTCTTTATGTATATTTATTTATCAAACTTTTTATAAAACTAGGTAAGGTGGGGAGCAGCATAGCAACAACAACAACAACACCAACAACAAAAACAGCTATTGTCCCTATATCAAGCAATAATAATTCTGTCGATCTTTCCTAAAGACCTTATTCTTATGCAATTCAATTGGACTTCTCAATAGCACGTGCAATTTTATATAATTACACACGTCTGCGAGTAGGTAGCACAGCGTTAGCTTTGCTAACCAATCTCAGGCGACGTCACAGAACCGGAACCAGCAGGTGCTGCCACGCCCAAACAAAAAGAAAATCCTCTTTGTGCTACTTTAGTACTGTAAACAAAGTATTGTGCGGTCGGTAGCTGCCGCTTGTCATGTTGCCCACAAATTTTGTTTTGAAACAATGGACCATGCACCATATAAAAGAATATGACAGTCTATTAATTGAATTCTGTTGCGTGGGCTCATAATGCGCCATTCATAAAATATCCTGCGAATGTT